ATATAGCCTGTGGTTATATTACGAGTTCTTGGGTAAATAATCTTCGATTTGAACTCTTTTCCGGTCTCGTGAGCGTCTCCGTCTAGAATAGGGCAACTTAAGGTTATTCCACTCCTCGGGCTTTCTCCGAGTGGCATAGTTACTGGGTACCGAAAGGGTTCCACAATTAAATAGTGTGCTTCGCCCTGGAACACAACATCCTGGATATTGAAGTGCTTTCGGAAATGACCAGTAATAAATAGCGTGGGTTAACTTGGATTCCAAAAGACTACTTTGTTGCCGACGATCGTGAATCCATTGTCAGTTTATCGGCTGTGCATTGCACCTGTAAAAATCACTTTTCTGACTGGATTTCAGTTTTTTGTGGATATTTTTGCTGCTCTGACATATATGCAACAAGCAGTGAGTCGAGCGAAAAGGAAAACTGTCGTGAATGTTACTTGTTCACCGAGACGGTGGGATAATCTAGTGGATTTGCGTTCATTTCTTGGAAACAGATCCCACATAATTCCGTTGAGAGGAGAACGTCCCTGGACAAAATTTGTCTTTTCATCTGCCTGTAGCCGAATGTGTTCACGGCAGCGTCAGACTGAGTGGACAATCTGATTCGCTGTTCATTGTTGCTGTTTTGCTGTTACTGATGATGGCCGACCCTTGGTAATAAACAATAACTGTTGTTCAGCTGCGACACTATTTCGCTGCATATCTCGAAGAAAGCACTGGTTTGAGATATTGCCCAAGTCGAGAAAGGAACAGTCTGAAATCCAATGTCCGTTTCGGACTACCGACCTCTCGGTCAGTAATTTCGCGACTTAATCGCTGAGCTATATCGAGCTGCAGACCCGTAGTTGACCAGGATATGCATTTTGGGCCGGCTCCCTCCACTCAGTCTATTTTCGAGGTTAATTTAGCATAGCTTCACCCACAAATATGGTAGCATTGTCGTCTGTGGGAAACACTTAACTGCCGTCGGTCAGCCAGTCGGTTGCTCAGCTGTAAATCCTGTAACAAACTACGGTGGTTTCAGCCGCTACAGTTTCGTTCACTGACAATGAGCGGAATAAACGAGCGGATGTCCCAATCGCTTCAGTGACGTTAAATCATTCTTTGTCTGGTCAAGCATGGTTAGAGAGAATAGGCAAAATACAGCAAGCCGTTAACTGTTCGACAGGCCCATGCCTGTCAATCTCGTGCCCTGTTAATTTTGATTGCTCTCTACCCGTCTGCTGGACGCCAGTTCACTTGAGAGTTTAAATGAAGGAATATCCTCGTCCGTGTAGCTCTTTCGGTGATTGCATCACCTGAAGCTGAACCAGCGCGATAGTCCAACTAAGGGTCTCCTCTAGGAGTGTTTAACTATCCTTCATTCTCTAGGGTCTTTTGTTTCAGCGTGACTTAGGACTCAGCTTTGTCTTGTGATTTCTATAGGAAATGGTCTCTGTGGGCCCTTGGTTGAGGCCCCCAGTCAATATTCTTTTTCCAATTATATTAGAGTTTGTGTTCCCTGTACCAGGTGTTTGCTATTGGAGCAACAGAAACTTATTTAGCGACCCGACCAAACGGGTTGTATGTATTCCATTAACATGGTTCCCATGGTTTTATGTGCGTATGTTCTTGAAACTTGGCTTCTTCTTCTGCTGCTCTTCAATTCAGGTGCATCACTCGGTTGACGAAAAACATCAGATAGTGCGACAGAAGGACCTACGGACCTTGATGCGTGAAGCCAGAGAGCGGGTGCAACAAGCTCGGTTAGTTTTTACATTCGTGATGCGGTATGTTCTCTTGGTGGTGTGGCTCAGATCTCCTCTTTTGCACAGCTGACACATTGTCAGAATTTCCCCCACAGACGCATACATGCGATATTTACATCGTTCCTATGTACTTTTAAACCGACCTTCGTAAGCATAGCGCTGCCGCATCAGCGCATCCGTTTGAGGGGTGAAAAAACATGAGAAGACAGTAGGCCAAAGAGGTCTGTAGAAAATTTCTTGCAGTTTTTCGACACTCAAATAGAAAGGCGTTTGAGCATCGTTGCAGTGTGCCTGGGCAGTTTACTGGATGTGCGATTTCCGATTTCCATAGCTGGTCACTTTGTAATTCCACCATCTCACATGAAGATGAGCCCTAACAGACTACAGACTGCAGTCCATGGTTGTACTGCACGTCTTCAGGTGTTAGACAGTCGTTGTCTCAGAACCATGGCTCATGTGGGGTGGGTCAGAGAGTCCGTAACCAGGCAATAAAAAAGCGAGTTTTCGGTTGTGCACCGAGTACTTCCATCGAAGAATGTGTCCAGCACCAGAAGCTGCGTTGGTTGGAACATGTGTTGGGTATACCTGACCGTCGTTTACCGAAGAGGGTGCTGGTTTCCATGCCCAATTCAGAGTGGCGAAAGCAGAGAGGTGACCAATCCTTGATCGAGCAGATGGGTATGAAAGAAATCACGAAACGTTTGGGTGCTCTCGATGCTATTCGCCTTCCAGAATGGTGACCGCGTTATCTCCACTGCGGCCGGTTGAAGACGCCGCAAGATGTGGCTGCCGACTGATGTCAGTGGCGACATTGTTGTCAGTTTCTACATAGATTGCGTGAAAGAGTGTCTGGAGGTGTAAGAAACTCGGAATGCTTGTGATAAGCTAGCACCAAGTCCCTTCCCCGTCCACCTTGATTCTTTTCCTCACGATAAGGCTTTCAACTAAATCATGGTTGTACGGCAGCGAAGCATCGGTGTTGAACACTGATGTCATGCTGTCGATGATGATGATGATGATGACCGACCGATACTCCAATCCGTGCCTACTGCTAGAGGCGGCTGTATTAGGAAGTTGGTGCTTGGTTATGCGACAGGTGCTTCAATCGCTTGCAGTATCCAACCCCGTCAAGTGCCATGGTTCGGCTACCAAGGTGTTTGCTCTCCACTGTTACTCAAGAATGGGGCATACAGCGAAATGGACGTATGACTTGGCGGCCAAGTATGGAGAGAACGAAAGCCTCTGCTTTTGGTGTTTCCATCCTTTCATGATTTAATTTCTGTGATCATTCCCGCGTTACATGCGGCTGCAAACGGATGTCAGTGCCGCCCCTGTTGTCGGTTTTGGTCTGGCTTTTCGTAGTGGGGTTTTTCTTTTTCGACCGCTTGGAATTCTCGCTCCTCTTTTCTCCCCACCCCAAGTTTTGTGATTGTGCATCAATATAACTGGTGTTGATGTATGTAGTGACGATGCTGACGATGATAGTGATGTTGCTGACAACAATGGTTATACATGAGAAGACGAGTTGCACGCTAAGCCACTATTGCGAGAGGGACAGAAAGCCACCTGACATGGTGTTTTTGGTAAAACAATGTCGTATTCTGATGATGAGGAAGTACTTTGAGGTGACACTCATTGGAGGATATTTGAGGAGGCCCAAATTTGTGTTGGGTTGCACCAAGTAAGAATCAAATGATCTAATCTCAGACGACGTAATTCACGGAAGAAAACCAGCCTTTTCCATAAATTCGCCTCTTGAAGACTTTGTAGCCTGGAGACCGGATTAAGTTACCAGGAACTGTCCGACAAAGAGGGCTAGAGAGGAATGGTGAATGGAAATGTTTTCATGAGCTTCACAACTGCGGATGACTTAATGCTACATCCTGGTGCGAGCGGCGCTCTCTTGCTTGCTGCATACAAACGCATACAGGCTTTCGGCCATGTATGAAAGCCAATGTGCTCGTGACAGCTCATTGGTTTAGGTGCCAGCTTACGGACTGATCAGTGGTTCGAACCCAACCTCAGCATCACGATTATCCTGTCTAGGCTTAGGTAACCTGGTAGTATCCCTGCTCATGTGCCTCCTTTCGTTGACATAGCAGCTAGGCACCGAAATAGTGCTGTAACTGAACGACGAAATCCATGGCCAACAAACTCAGTTGCTCAGGTAATTGCCGTCTCCCTGGATAGGGACTTCGGAACATATTAATGCCCAGACGTAGGTAAACATGGCCCTCCCGTGTGCCCGGTTACGGTCATGCATCCGAGCTATCGCCTTTAATGTATATCTTTCCCTCCAGCTCTCCCCAATGAAAGTCATTTGACCCCTGTATCAATGTGTAAATGGCACCAGCTACCGTCCTAAATACATAGTCACCCACTTCTACCTTTTCTGACCGTGGGCCAGCAAAGCTCTTTCAATCAAAACCACTACACGACATGTACATGGTACACAGTTGCTGATAATGGTGATGATACGGTTGGGCGGGTAACCGAAAATAGGCTACTGCTAACAGTTCATGTATTCATCCTTTTCCGTTCCATACCCTGGCAACTAGTTCGTGGGCTAAATTTTTAGTGATGGATCCATTCGTCGCTTATTACCATTCACTGTACCCAAATCAGCCAAAAAGACTGAAGCAATTTTGAAATCATTCGTTATGCTCTGGCGTTCAGTTCACCTGACAGTCTTCAACACTTGCAGCGTGAAACAAGTTGGCCAACAGAGTTTTCTTGGTCATACACTGGACTCGCTTCTATTGAAACGTGTTGTCTCTGAAACGAGATTCAACATCCAAGGTCCAATACAGTTGTTGGACGGACTTCCCATTGGTATCTTCCAGTTTCTGCTTTCGATGATGCAGAAGCCACTGAGGTTCGTATTATTTTAATCCATTGGGTGAATGTGTCTGCTTGGATACCCCTTGACACTCGTGTTTCCGCAGTTTGTTTGGCAGTGCGAAAAACGCGCTGATAATTACTATCTCTCAAGTATGGCTGCTTACACCCCGACGGATTGTAACACACGCGCGACATTTTTGCGACGCTTTGAGCCGTTTATCGCAACGAAACAGAACCTCGGCTGAAATTGTATCTACTGGTGGTATGAAGACGCCAGTAGGTAGGCTTAGTGCTGCTGAAGCTCAACTTTGTGGCCGTCTTGGACCGGAATCGAGGAACACAGTCAATTGCTTGCTGGGGTTATTTGCTGAGTCTTTGTGGCACTAACCCAAATCACATGGCTATATGTTCTTCACGTGTGCCCCGCCCTCAAGTGAAGATAGACCACATCGCCATTAGCTACAGGTCACTTTTACCGATTACTGATTGATGCTCTTTTTAAAGCACCTACGTCAGTTCTGACCACGTGCTTGTTCATTGGTGCTTTTCGGAGCACGTCTCTCGAACCCTAATGGGAAGCGAACCTACCAAAACCACCTACTAAATTCCATTTCCTACAATTATCGGATGATGACTCCTACTGAAAAGTATTTTCCACTACCCTGCAAGATACGTGCAGCTCTCATAAAACGAAATCTCAAATGTATCTAAGCACTAGATCTCGATTGACACTGAAGCCGCTCAAAGCTCGGACTTTTGAAGACGGGACTTGAGAAAACCAAGCGATACAGTTTCGTTCACTGATGATTCGGGGAGGTGGTGTAGGTAGCTGCGCATTGGAGGTGGGAGCTGATAAATCAGTGCGTAAATACAGCACTATAGGTGGACTGTTGAGTGGGGGGATTCTGAAGGGAGCTATGCAAAAGGCAATAGCTTGGATGCATGAGCACCATTGAGGGTGCGACTGGGCCATGCCTGACACTGTCTCTAACCATTGATATGGCCCGTCTCGGGGTCCCCGTCCAGGAAGACGGCAATGATCAGCGCAACTGAGTTTGCTGGTAATGGCTTTTATACTTCGCTGCCAAGTCATTGTTTGACCGCTTCTGACTCGTTTCCACCCTTGACGTGGTTGTGCGAAAAGAGCCCTTCGAGGAAGTCGGTTGACTGGCATACGGAGCACGTGGCCTAGCCAGCGCAACCTATGCAGTGTGATCGGTTCATCTATCGAGGGTGAGTTATTTCTCCCGAATACTTCAGCACTGATGATCCACCACCAGACTCGGGCAATGCTCCGAAGACATCGATGGCCAAACACTGAAAGTTCTTTTTGACTTCCTCGGTGCGCAGCGGCCAAGTTTCTGATCCCTATGGTAATATGGAGAGCTCCGCAGCATTGTAAACCCGACCCTTGACGGTTAATCCGATGTCACGCCTACGTCACAGGTGATACGGGTTCACAAAAGCCTCTGACCCTCCCAGTCTGGATGGAAATATCATCTTCCGGGACGGATATTGATGCCAAGGTAGACAAACTTGTCTAATACCTCAATCGGCTCATCCGCGAGCATGAGTTTAGGTTCCGAGCTCACCCAGTCTTGCAATAGCACTTTATACTCTGTAGGAATGGTGATGTTGCTACATGTAGCAGGGAAACTGGCCCGTGTAGTAGCGTTGCGCGATATCGTTTTCATCTGAGGGTCTCGTGGTCATATGGAGCGTGGGATGCTACCACGAGGATGACGTGAGCCCTCAGCTGAAGCTCCTGGCTCAAAAATGTGATCACCGGTTAGTAAGGGACTAAAAAATCTCGTGGGAATATTTTCCCCTGGACATTGTACCACAACATACGGAAGATAAGGAGAAATCTGGCATCTCGTTATGTCTATGTCTACATAGTTCATCATCATTGATAGCAACACCAGATGGGAATACTGGTGCTTCACTCCCGTACAATTTATTCGAATTAAGGCTTTATAATGGAAAGAGAATGTAAGCGTAACACGGAGGGGGGACCTAGAGTTAGTCTATCACAAAGCTCAGGTGCCTACACGTCTAACACTCAGTCAATCTGGATGCAAATTGACGGCGTGAGTACCACTGACAGTGGTTAATCGCCATATCACTCGATTTCTGCATCCAAGGGTGGGGAAGGTCACTTGGACCTCTTTCTTGGAGATGAACTGCACGAACGGCACACGGACTTAGTAATATCCTTCAGCCCCTCCTACCATGTCATATCCTATCCATCTCTTCGTATCCGCCACTTCAAAGTCGGTACGTAAAACGACACTGTCCTCAGTAGACGGTAATTGCGTATGCGTAACACATGGTCCAGTCGCCTTAGCTTGCAGCACCGGATGCATTATTTGACTGAAACACCATCAAAATCCCATCCCGAATTTGCTGCTATCAGCTGTTTCTAGCTCTAGTTCTGGGACATCAGTAGTCAAAGACTCGAGAAAGTTTCATATCCTTGAACTGAAACGGCCAAGCCTTACAGTCATATAACAATGCAGCCCGCACCGTAGTCTGATACACGTCCATTGAGGACCATTTGTATGCCTCCTTGATGTTGCATGTCGCACTAATTGGCAAAAACAATTCTGGCCTTCGAAATTTGCGCGTTCGTCTCGCCTATCACGTTACCATCATGGCTAACGCAGATTTTGAGACACGTATAATGCTCCGCATCTTCCAGTATCACTCGGTGAATTTTTAGAGGAATGTTCGAAGAATCCGCACCTTAAGTGGGAAGCAAAAGAGTGGACTCTGTTATCGGACACCAGTGCTTGGAGGGATTCTTTTGGAGAGCTTCCCATACATTCTCAAACACATACAAGTATGTGGATACAAGGAGTGCATAATGTTCATGAACTTTTGGGGCGGGATTGAAAATACTCTTGAAATCAAGTACCACCAAGTTTGATAGAGTGTCTATTTGGTTGCTGAATATGGTCGCCTGCAGGCCTCCTCTTCTGTGTTTGGGTGGGCGGATGACCGCAAAATATTCTAGTGCTTCTGTGATGCCCTCCCCCCTGATGGTTTCAGACATTCCGCAACCAATTCAGATATGAATTTTTGGCATCGTCTCGTGTCTTGAGCGCTTATCGACGAGTTATGATTTGTTTCTGAAACATAAGCTTTTCAGTCGTGCCTCCCCAACACTTTGGGGACGACAAAACAATCTATAAAAACAGTTTTGGTGATTGATAGGTATTCATTGTTTGGATCGAAAAAGATGACGAAGAGCTTACTTGAGGCTGGAGCCCTGATTCGCTTGTTGGGCTTCAATTCTGAAGCCATTTGGGTTCGGATATCTAGAGGTGGCTTTCGTGTGTTATCTAGACGCCGGGATAGTTCCTCATGGATTCGGTTCTCCTCAACGGGCTAATTTGTGGGCTTTTCATCCTGTCTTTCAAGTTTGTATGACGAATCCTGAATGGTGTATCCCAATGCATAACTGCCCCTGACAATCCGTAGTTTAAGAGTTGTTTAGTCAAGAAGATGAATGTGGCTGTCCCAAGTCAGAGGGCCATTTTGATTTCCACTGTTTCTTTGGCGTAGCCGTTCGCATCATTTGTTCGTCGACGAATCATGGATCTACGGTTCTTTATCCATTCTTGATCTTAAATGCAGTCGGGTATTGTATGATGTTCTTATGGGCAACTTCATCTGTCAGGCATCGTTTTCACCTCGTAGCCGTTTACTTCTAGCCTACTTGAGTTAATGTATCCGGCCTAAATTTTCCAAAAGTCAGGTGTTTCCTTTTTTCCCAGAGCTACAGGGAATGGTAGTTCGGATAAATTTTGACCTTAGGTTGGTTTTGTTGGTTTTTTGCTGAAATTTCTTCTCAATTACTGAAAATATCCGATTGTGATGAACGCTATTCTCTGCTAAGTTACCTTATCAACATCCGACCTTTACTGTTTGAGACTGGGTGGACTCTTACAAGGCATTTAAGCCAGAGTTGGAATCATTTTGTATCGGGATATAGGGTAACACTCAATATGACGCTGTCTCTCTGTTATCCAATTTGACATCGCGTTGCCAGCTGTTCACCGAATCACGACTGCGCGTCCTTTTTTCCTTCTAGGACGGACGGCGATTGCAACGCACCTTATCTTGTGTTTCATCTTTGTTATCCCCAAAATTACGTCGCGGCCTCTAACCTCTGGGTCATACTAACAGAATGAGGAGCCATAGATAGTTCAGCGGTTAAGGCGCCAGCTTACGGACCGGAAGGTCCGTGGTTGGAAGTCAACCTAAGCGTTTCGACTGCTCCTGTCTAGGCTTGGGCAACCTGACACTCGTGCCTCTTTTCGTTGGTATGACAGCTAAGCACTAGTGAGGTGCATGAACTGGACGATTTTTTAACGATTTCCGATGCTAAAAAGTCATGTTTGAGTCTAGGGAACTCAATCCACTCTCGAATGCACCTGTAAGCTCAAGTGGGTGCTTTGAGTGCAGGTTGCCAACCGACTTTTGTGGGCGCTCTCTGTATAAAGTGATGCAAGTGATGCATCGAAGGTGAAAACAAAACCAGAAAAGGCTGAGGCGCCGGAATTTTTTATTTTGCTGGGTGAGAATTCTTAAACATTTGTTTCCGGGTAAAGACCCCTCCGCAATAGCTATCACTTTTGGACGGCCTACTGAAGCTTCATAGAACTTAAGGGCCTTAGAGAACCCGTCTCTCAGGTTACACAGGAACCATCTGCTGGAGCCCTGAGCCGAATTACCGAGTTTCGCAACTAAGACAATGAGCGAGATAGTTGAAAAGGATATTAGGTGCCCGACTAAAGGTATACAGGTTTGTACGATAAGCGTGCAGGATGGGACCACCAGAACGGTCGGTGCCGGTTGGAATGTTGGGCGATACATGCTAGTCAAAATTATGATTTGTCAAAGACGAAGATTGTGAAATGCAGGGAGAATGGAAGTGCAACATTTTACCGGCTGATGACCAAGCATTTGTGCCAGCCATGGAACTTAGCCCTGAGGACGAGAAGAATAACTAATCTTGTTTCCGGTAACGTGGCTCCACAAAGGGCTCAACGTATTCCGAAGGAAAAATTTTCGTACATCAGGATAAACCGTACCGATTATTTGTACTTGGGTATATCTCCCATTTTGGACCTCAAATGGGAAATACAGCGAAGCATTCAACTATTGGAAGGCCTTGTCTAATTTGATTGCCTCTAGATATGAGGTACGAACTTTATTGACTTTGATGATCCGAGTTAGTTTTTTAGCAAGTAACCCATTAGATATATGACGTGTAAACGAAAAGATAATTGTTTGTGAAGTATTTCGCGAGAACAGCTGGCCGTTCTTTCCGTCGCTTTTGACGATTGGGAAGACTAGTATTCTTTGTCTCATCCACAGAATTAGCAGAGATTACCCGAACAACTAAGGCATTTGGCTTAGTTCAACCTATTTGTACTTGGCCAAGAGTATTCAACAAACGGAGGCGTTCCCCACACCAAAGTTCTCGCTACCCGAGCGTCTAAGAAGAGTGATTTTCAGTTCCCGACTGGTCAATATTTTACCATGACCTCTAATAATGTCATGCTTGGAGCGAGATATTTTTTTCTTTTGTCACTTGCTCATTCAATCCACACTTAACGTTTTACTCTTCATCAGTATCTCTTAGCTGACTGACGAATAGCGGACTTGTACCTCGTAGGTTTCTCGTGTGGTATAGTATAAGCTAGGGGTAGGAATATCTTACCGCCTTCCATGAGTGAACGCTAGAACGACTCGAAGACGTTCTTTTTCACCTTGTTCATTTTCGAACCTTTCAGGGACTCATACCAGGTCTCCCATGCGTCTTGTCCATCTTCGATAGTGACATTTAAATAAGTAAACACAAGCCCGTGTTCAGTCCTTACACCTTACATCACAACAGAGCATTCTCTTATTTTCCTGGATCGGGTGTTAGCTTTCGTTCACACTAGCGAGTGTGTGCACCTCAGCCCTCTACCCGACTTCACTAAGATATGGAACGGACAGTGCTTACTTCTCAACACTTAGTAGTGGAAATCCTATCTTATTTTTCATGAAATGCCTTGACGTAGTCAGGCTATTCCACTGGATGTAGGTAGCAGTACTCACCACAAAAGTGGCTTCGTTACTTGTGAATTTACAAATACGTATTAATTTTTACAGTTCTGTAACGTCCAGCTCATGTACGACAGCATCTTTTACGCTTCACAGATAATTGTAGTTAAGGCCTCCATTTCTCTTTCATTGACAGACAAAATTTAAGTCTCCAAAAACATAGACAAGGCACTGGAAGTTTTCAGAATTTTGAACAGCCACAAACAGTGATCGATTTGACCGAAGACTTCCCAGTTTCCAATGACGCGAATGATACAGTCAGTGACCCCGCCGAAGCTGAGAAACTGCGGTTGCGTTTGGTGAGTGGTGGTCAGCTTCGTCCTCCTCATCGTGTTTTGTATCAAGCTGCTTCCGGTGAAACCAAACAAAATTTCACTGCTCGAACCGGCCCTGTCGATAGTGCTGGGGCATCCGGTCAGAATACCTTGGCATCTCGTCTTTCACACCGCGCGTCTCTTTGCGATGAACCCATGACATTCAACCAGACATCACCTTATACTAATGAGGTCACCGAATATGCCATTGCCGGTGCTTGTTCTAATGCCAAATCGGGGTCTGGAGAGCAGTTTGTCACAATACAACAAAACCCTCATCTCAACGAGCCCTATTTTGATGAGTCCGGGGCAATAGTAATCGGTGATCCATCCACAGGATACCCTCAAAATAGATTTATCACTTTCCCTAAGCGGCAGTCTTCGGGAGTAATGGACTTTGGAACCACTGTGAATCGTAAGCAGCAGCGACGCCAAGTAGTCCGTCGGTCAAATGTTGCTCCAATTCAGTCGGTGCAACAGTGGTCTCCGCACATTACACACCACAGCGGCGAAACTTCGGTCGTCGGTTCGCCTTTTGTTGACTCTTCGAATCCACCGCTGCTTGACGATATTATTAGCGGACAGGAAACTGCTTCGACAGATTTGTTATCCACGCCGTCACAGGTGGTTGACCCTCGAATTTCTATGCTTGCACCACCACTGGGCTCACAGGTCGTGACGAGGGGCTCGGAGTCGATGCTCATCACTTCGTCTGGTTCCCAGATCTCCTACGATGGTAGGAACTTAATGGAAGGGCAGGTTAGTGGGATTAATCCTGAGTTTTTTGGCATTTACTTGTGTGTGCCACTTATGCGTGCCTTCCATAAACTTTGTTCACATTCACCACTGTGTGTCTAATATTTTGATGGAGTTTTTGTGAACATTAAAACTCTATTGGAGTTTCAGTTTTAAAAAAATATATTGTGCAAGGCTAAGTCATCCCGCTCTAAATAGTGTCCTATTTTTGTGCGTTATCAGTACTGTGCGTCAAGTTAGCATCCAACTGAATGGGTTGTTCAGATCTGTCATAGATGATTAGTAACGGAGATGAAGCAGCTCTACATTTGTCCTCGACGTTGCAACACAACATGACTTGATTGCACATCAGAATTTTAAAAGTTATGACGCTAGATTACCCAGTCCGTATCATAGAAATAGGTGTGTATCTACCGCGTTGGAGTTAAGCGACAGCATTCTGTACATGGCCCACCAAAGGTTTTGTATTTGAATTTGCCCGACAATTAAAGAAAACTGCGTTGTTTTTCGTTCTTCCAAAGAGTGACACCTTCAAATTCGACTTCGTTTTGCATGATCAAAATCAACGTTGTTTTGCTTGGGGATTCCCCGTAGGATGCGTCCGGCTGTGCATTCCTTCTTTAGAATATTATCAGTTTTCTTTCTCAATGGGCTGTTCTATCTCATTGTTTTTTTCCAGCCCCATCATATGATGCCGCTTATCAATCAGCCCGTGATAGTTAACCGGTTCAACCGATCAGTTTACGGTGGCACCCATGTTATACGTGAAACTCAGGTGAGAAATATTCTATGGTAGCTCTGTATTCTGGAATGGCACTCAAATGAAGCAAGGTAGTGTATTTTCCTTGTGTGTCGTTGCTGGCATATGCGGTGAGACAGTTCAGGCTTATATATGAGCCATTCACCGGACAAAACAAAAGCGCGCACAATCCTAGGCAGTTAGGTATCGTTTCGCATCGTGCTGACAGGTTCTCGTCTTCAAAATCAGTAGAGATCTTTGTTCCTACCGCGTGTCGGGGATAGTTGAGTGGGTATTGAGTGAAGTTAGGCTCATGTAATCGGTGTTTCTATACATGTATGATTTTTCCACCTTGGTGTAGAAATTGGACAAATTCCTGGTGGCACCATCATAAGATGTAAATAAAGACGTGTTCCGTCTTTAGGACTAAAAAGCAGACGTGTTAGTAAGAACTTTTCAAGACAGCTCTGACCTCTTGTTCTAATGTTCACTGTTTTTATCCCAAGTTCTTATCAAGAGCACATAAGCGTAGTCTGCTAACCCAGGAGATTCACAGACTTCATTTTAGGCCGAAACTCACTTAAGTTCGGTTCACTTAAGTTCGGTAGTAATCCAAGGAATCGCTACGAGGGCAGATCCGGTACTACTGAGGAAGATAGGCCTGTATTCAGTGGACAGGCAGTTTCTTTATGAGGAACCGAAAGTGGAAATGACTCCTCCGTTTGGTCTACCTTTGTTAGCTATTCATTGGCGGTTTTCCTATCGGTGACATCTTGATCTACTCGGGCCAGTGAGGGACTTTCAATAACAGACAGATTATCCGAACTATTGAAGTTTTACCAGAACTCTTCAAGTTCCTTTGCCATCTCTTTATGAAGACTCCTCATAGGTTCGCCATTTACTTTGGGTGCGTTGATTAATAATCTGTTTAGAAAATGGATTTTGCATGCTCTTTTATGTGCAAACTGAACCCCAGATGTCGCCCTGTCGTGGCTATGGTTCTAGTGCGTTCAGTGTTCCACTTAAGCTAGGTTTAGTTACAAATTTATAAGAAATGATACCAAGTAATTCGATTTGATTGATAGTAAGAAAATTGGTGAAGGCCTAGTGGTCTTCCTCTTTTAGTATATATCCAGCTATGCGAACTCTTCATCGGCCTATTGGATTTCTCCGTGTCTCAGAGATTCGAAAACTTTTATTATTTGTTTGCGCATGAGATGTACGTAGCAGCCACTTTCTCTGTTCATATGAGACCTCTTGGTTTTCCAAAGATAAGCCACATAAACCCTGTGGGTTACTTCTCCGTTTGTGGACAGTTGACTCATCGTGTCTATTTTCTTCATGAACACCTGGCCACAACGGTCGAAAACAATTGTTTGTAGCGGAGATGTGGTCTTCAGAGAATGTTCTCAAACTTTGAGGTTGCGGTAGCATTCGATGGGACACTTACGGGTAATTCACTTTTCTATCTTATCAAATATAGTATACCACGGGTACTTCCCTAAGGTTGTTAAGTTTCATTCCACTGTCAGTAGTAGTAACACCCATATTAGACCCTGGTGATTCACTATCGTTTTCCAGACAAGGATGGTGGGTGTGGATTCAGTTCAAGCGAAAACCGCATCTGTACGGAAGTGATTGACAGACTTGTTTCGTTTAGTGAACGAACTTAACGATAACATGTTAACGCTATGATCACTGCACCCGTACCTAGCTAGTCGATGCGCGTTCGACGGCGTACAGAACGATCAGAACGCGTCATCCGGGACCTGAGGAAACATGCTTCCTATAACTATTTCATAGTTTTGCTAGCTATCGGCCAAAAGCCTCGAACGAGCACTCAAGCTTCGCTCCAATACATTCAAAGTGGTTTGACACAAGCGTATCTGCTCTCAAACAGTGTACATCGCCCTGAAGCTTCCAAGACAAACCCTAATTTGTCTGTATTTACACCTATCAACTCTTGAACTCTGTGGTATTCTTAGGCTACTTGACGAATCTAGTGACTCAGGATCAATTAAAACTTCGGCTCACACATTCGTAACGTCACCCGTCACATGTTTGCTTAGGCAAGCCGCTTCTCTTTAAGTTAGCTGCTCATAATGACTAAACCACATCCCTTGTTCCTGCTCACTAAAGGACTACTACCACTGTGTATGAGAATAATTAGCCTTTGGTCTAGTGAAGTGTTTCAATCTCCAAGGCGACCGGTTCCAGTTGAAACTGTCACAGCTTGTGCGGACATAGCGTCTCAAAGGGATATTTAATTACGCAGTAATTAACACACTATAATCGGTTGTCTCCACGTAATTCATTACCGGCTCTCTGTCATTCCGAACCAGAAGGCAGCTTCTGATGTTGGCGGTTACGTTGAACTGGTTCCTTGAATCTGTTTTCAGCACAGTGGTGATCATACTGACAAAAACATATGGACGTAATCATCAGCGATCTTCGCTTGACTTCGAATCAGTAGGGACTCGAAAGTGAAACCACTATAGTCAGCCGCCGCGCTCAATACAACCCACATGGTAACCCATCTTCGAGGATTCTGCGCTAATTTCTTCAGAGTCGTTTCGTGATGGAAGGCTGGTGTCAGATTACGTTTACGCCCATTTGTAGAAAAAGTTTTCCAGTAGCAGTTTTGTTGAGGGGTGACAAAGTTTGGAGGAGGGTAGTTGAGTGGAAGAGCTTGACATATTCATGTTCTAAGGTGCTTTTGGGTGACAGACAGAGACAACTGTTCCCGATGTGCTCCCGTATAGTTTGTTGTATTCTACTACATTGAATGAGGAAACAGACCGGTGTGCCTTGTGCACCCTGTTAACAATAAACTGTATAATACCTTGCTAAATTCACGAATTCTTTTCTACATACTGGCTTTCAACGTCCGTGCTCCATGTCAAATTGGATAACAGGTAATGCTTGCCCATACTTCATACTTCATTAAAATTAACGCATGTTATCTCCCCGAAATACGCATACAAGACCCAAATGTGATCATATATCTTAAAGCGCCAAGGACAAACTCAGTTCTTTCACATTTCACTCTCGGTGTGTCCGATGATTCGGGATCGATGACTCGTGATATATATATATATATATATATATATATGGCTTGAGAATTGCGTCCAGGCCCAGAGCTAAGCGTGCTTTGCTGGATTGGATTCTAGTGAATATTCGTTTCCGCACCGTTCGGTTACGCAACCCAATTAAGCTCAATACGATCCAACTTAAGAATCGTGTAGTGCCCTAACGGACTGCAGTTCTGACGTTGAGAGGGGTTCTTTCCATCGAGATTTATCCGTGCTCACTCATCAGGCAAGAAGAACTGACACTATCGTCCTTGTGGGTTCAAAGCTGTTTGTCCGACGTCTCCGATAAGATCAAACGATCACTGGATATATTCGAGGTTGCTAGCACTCATTGATACCAGGAAATGCATACCAGCATTCAATGAGTACGACGGCGCCAGCAAATCCCTCGAATACCAACAGCAAAGGGCCTAAGGAAAGACCGCGAGCTTTGGTGGACATCAAAAGCTCGGGAGATGGAAATGGCTTTCTCATACCAACAGGGGCCTAAGGAAAGACCGCGAGCTTTGGTGGACATCAAAAGCTCGGGAGATGGAAATGGCTTTCTCTACCGGAAAGATCCATCCCCTATACCAGTTGATACGATCAATTGGCCAAAGGAAAGCAACGGTCAATGAAACGACAAGTGAAAAAGATGGCTCAGCAGTTTACTCACAAAAGCATTGACTATGAGGATGGGCTGAACACTTCGAAGAACGGTTCACCTGGTCTCCTGCAACTCAGTCTCTGGATACAGTGCACAGTGGCGGATGAAAAGTAAATCTTAATCACCCGTCAGAAGGAAATAAAATACAAAACATCCGTACTTAACCTGACAGGGTACCAGGACGGACTAGCTATATCCAGCCCTCTTCAAAGAAGGCAGAGAATCCCTGGTGACCTATTTAACAAAACTAATCGACGCGATATGATGTGAAGAGAAAGTGTCCGCAGCATAAGGTGTGTTGACAGTTATTCCCGTCTTCAAAAACGGTACGCAGACGCTGTGTGAAATCCACCGTGGCATCAGCCTGTTAGCTGTTGTACCGAAGATGCTTTCTCATGCTGTCCTTCGAGGGTTGACTGAACCAAGGGAGAGACAGATCCGAGAAAACCAAGCTGGGTTCCGTCCCGAATCGATCATATTTTCACCTTCCGATAGATTCTGGAACAGCGACACTGTTTCCAGCACCCAAAAGTGGTTTTGTTCCATGACTTGAAATCTGCCCTTGACTCTGTGAACCGTCAAACACTGTGACGGTGTCTGTGGAGCATACTTATTCCCCATAAATTCTTGACCTCTCTTAAGGCACTGTGTGCCAACTCCCGCGGTTGTAAGAGGGTCTCCGGGGAGTCTTCGCAAACTGTCTTCTTTCACCTCTTCACCTTCTCCATTGATACGATTATGAAAAACTCACTGCCACCCTCTAATGCCTGTGGGGTCGCTCGGGGCGCTCGCTTTCAGGTATCGAGTACGCAGATATAGCTCTTCTTGGACCCGACGCAAACAACATTAAATAATCCAAAGAACTTTGAACCATGATTTGGCATGCGCTTCACACCTGCAAAGTGTAAAGTGTTGCTTCAAGACTGGGTGGGCTCCACCCCTAACCTCATGCTTGCAGATGAGCCGAATGAGGCAGCTGTCCCGGTTGTCTTACCAAGGATGATATTTCCCTCCGGATTGGGAAGTTCAGAACAGATTTTGTGAACCTGCATCACCTGTGGCCCCAAAAGTGGTTGTGTTCCATGACTTGAAATCTGCCCTTGACTCTGTGAACCGTCAAACACTGTGACGGTGTCTGTGGAGCATACTTATTCCCCATAAATTCTTGACCTCTCTTAAGGCACTGTGTGCCAACTCCCGCGGTTGTAAGAGGGTCTCCGGGGAGTCTTCGCAAACTGTCTTCTTTCACCTCTTCACCTTCTCCATTGATACGATTATGAAAAACTCACTGCCACCCTCTAATGCCTGTGGGGTCGCTCGGGGCGCTCGCTTTCAGGTATCGAGTACGCAGATATAGCTCTTCTTGGACCCGACGCAAACAACATTAAATAATCCAAAGAACTTTGAACCATGATTTGGCATGCGCTTCACACCTGCAAAGTGTAAAGTGTTGCTTCAAGACTGGGTGGGCTCCACCCCTAACCTCATGCTTGCAGATGAGCCGAATGAGGCAGCTGTCCCGGTTGTCTTACCAAGGATGATATTTCCCTCCGGATTGGGAAGTTCAGAACAGATTTTGTGAACCTGCATCACCTGTGGCATAGATGTGTATGCGCTTTCCACAGGTGATGATAATGGTTCCCCTTTTTCTGGTAATTGGAAGATTGTTTGGTTCTGGCTTCGTTTTGAATCAGTCTCCAATCAAACGATACCCTGAAATAAGAACCGGTTTCGACGCTCAAGGGTGGTGTTTCTTTCACTGTAATATTACAGTTTTAAACGAACTTGGAGTTCTTATGTGTCAGTTAAAATTACCCTGAGTACGCATAATGTTTTTATGCCTCTTACGGTATATAGGTGATATCCGATTGTTAGTCTGTCGTACTAGCGAAGCCCTAACTCTACACGGGTATTTGCCTTTTGAATGATCTACATTTCGAATTCGGGAAGTATTTAACCGGTGGTAAATTATACACGCACACAACGTTCTTTTTCGAATTTCCGCTACAATTTGGTAACCACCTGACTTTTTCTTTCCCCTCCCCCCAAATCGTGCATGCAATATCGACATTTCAGGGACGTGTAATCGTTGATGACATGCGTGAGAAGTCAATTACTGGTCGGTCCAGAAAAACGGCCAAAGGCACATTTCGGCACGCAGCGCCTGTATTCCCTCGTAAGTTTCGAGCTCTATATTTCCAGGTTTCACCAAATTTGAGATAGTACTGTTTCCCATGCTCATGTTCCGTGACTAATATCATGTACTTCACACTCGACTAAAGCTAGATACGTCTCAGTCACCCTTATGATTCTTACTGCTGCATTCCTCTTTACCGCAACACTTAGCGAACCCGCCCCTATAGGCATTAGTACTAGTGGAAGAAAGCTCCCTTGAACAGATTATCCCTGCTGATCACCATTTACAACAACCAAACCAATTTCACTAATGTGCGTATGACTTTCTTCGTCCAATCAACCCTTCACGACTACCGTGCTAATATAATTGGCTGTCGTTTGGACTGTCAGTGTAACATCCCACTGGCCCACGGTTGGATCCACAGTGTACGCGTTCCCTTTGGAAATAGCTGTGCACCCCTGCAATACTCAGGGGAAAAATCCAAAACTGATCCCCCAATCTTTGGGTCATGGTATACTCTTGTTTTCATAAAGTAACGACAAAGAGGTTGATATCAGTCGGTCCAGGAACGGAGGGCGGTAACTTGCTCTATAGATTCGATGCATTTAAGAATGCAGGGTATATGGATGTTGATAGAAGCGATGTAGGGTGTTTTGCAACGCGCATAGTAATCAGCATTCACTAGTCTCACTTCTCATATAGCGTGAGGTAAGATGCCTGTTGAAATGTTAACGATGTACCTGGCACTGATATGATGTGAGTGATAAGTTTCGCGAATCATTTCGATTGTTCACAGCGTTTCAGAATTCGTCCACCCACATTTTTAGAATTCATGCGTGGGTTTTCCATTGGTGACAATCAGTATGCTCTTCCCTTACTCACTCCATCGGTGCGAAGATCCCAAGCAGTTCTAAAATCAATCCTTTGTGTGCAGAGTTATATGCAATCGGAGAGTGATAACGACCTTAAATGATTATTGGATTACTAAACGACTGAGTGGTATTGTTTCGACATGCTTGTTTCAGTTGTTCTCCTCAACTTGGTGATTGACTCCTCAATTTCGATTCCAGTCTGTCTGTTCGTCTTTTCCTTGCATGAATGTTTGCTAGCGTTATCTCACTGAAGACTGGGACATTGGTTGACTTAACTGTTAAGGTACTGGCTTTTTTATCAACTTAGAATTTGCTTACCTTCATTTTCCCCCGTTTCATGTATTTTTAGCGCCGAATTACTCCACGATCATACCGACACGCTTCACACACCCGATACCACAGCACCAAACCAATGCTGCCTTCCTTGCAGTCAACCGAAAGCCTTCCACAATAGGCCTCCTATCTAATCGGTCTGCAGTGGTTTCTCGATCTCTGCTCAGCTGTTCCACTTCTGATCTGTTTTCCAATACTTTGGCGCATGGATCTGACTTTGAGTCAACGGAGACAATCGGTTCAGTTCGTCCTCCCTTTGTTTCCCACAGCATACTACGACCTACTCGTCTCTCTACAGTTAGAGGTTCTTCAGTCGTTGCTAGCGATGCGGGCTCGTACCCCTCCTCCTTGGGCACAAACTTGATGGATTCACGCATGGAGTCTGACCTTGTTGATATGGACTACTGTATAGAATCTTCATCTCTTTTATCCGCCACCAACTCACACCCAGCCCATTCCCCCGCCCTTACAGACACGTCAGAGTACAATAGCGAGCCGAATGTGTCTACGACTTTCGCCCACCAAGATTCTCGTCCGCCAACATCCACAGCGCATTCGCTACCTGCGGTTGGTGGACAATCCATTGCCACCGGTGAGATAGTCCCTCCCTCTGTATCCAGGAATCGCTATTTTGTCATTCGACCGAATCCACTCAGACAACCTCCAAGCTTGGTATTGCGGGCCAAACGACCGGAGTCTTGCTCGCTTCCACAGTCAGTTAACAAACCCTCAGATATGTGACGCCATCCAGCCATGTTCAGGTTTTTTTTCGGATCCTGAGTTTTCTGGAATATCAGACACCACTGTCTTCCTCCATCTGCCTTCCAGTCACAGCTGGGTTAATTCTCTACCGATTTGCTTCATTTGGCGTCCGTTAGACTAGTCTGATCGGTCAATACAACCAGTTTTCCCCTTACCTAGACGGTTCCCAACAGGTTTGCACATCCCGTCTCCCAGCTGTTTGCCCCAACTATTCCAGATCGCCTGACTTTGTACAATTCCTACCACGATCGTCCGCTTTGTTGTGCACAACGATTGATCAAGTACTTTAGTTGTTACCAACGCACTGCTGAGCTTTTCTACGGATTGTCATTGTTTTTGTGCCTATAGGGCTGAAGGGTAACTGGTCACACTACAGGAATAGAGGTGCTAAATAATACTGGAGCATTATATATTGAGTAATAAAGGACCTTAGACACTAAGCAGTAATGCTAAGATAATTGGCCGGCCGTTCGGTTAGCATGACCTTGCATAAACATTAACGACCGACGATAGTATCATGTTAAATCCTAAAATTTGCAACAGGCGTCGTTAACAAATAGCCTCCCATTGAGTTCACTTTTGGATGGATTTGTTGTATTTCCTCAATAAAATGAGCTCGCATATTTTTGGTTAGTAGAATCCCGCTAAAAAAGCTCACGAAAAAGCGCCTAGGTTTGGTCTATTGTACCATAATACCGCTTATTTAATGATATCCACTGGTTCTCCCTGTTGTATTAACCAATCGGGCTTGCCACTAATTTAAGGCAGATGTTACCTCCTCGGATTTGAAGCTTCCCAAGTGTTTCAGGAACTCTAAGAAAGACCGTCAGGATACTCTGGTTTTCCGAGAGGAAATAACCTCTGAAGTTGTTACCGATTATATTCCACCGCATTCCTTCCGCGGTCCTGGACAAAAAATGCGGATTATTTGCAACTACTCGTAAGTAGTCTACCTCTCATCACGATTGGTCCCTCCTTTAGGCAAGGCTAGCCCAACGCCCATTCGTGACGAGCCGTGAACTTGTTCTATTTTAATAGAGCTGAGGGCCTGACATAAAGATGGTGTGGGCTGTGCAGACCATCCTTCTGGTCCCAATACGGTTAGATTTCCCGCGTTTCGGTGAGAACCAAAAGTGGAAGTTTGTCCAGGGCAGAGGAGAGCGTTAATTAACCATTGCTGCCCATCAGATTGGAATATTAGAACATTTATGAACGTTTTTGTCATAATTTTATAATCCGTGGGTGAAATCTTGTGAGAGGAGGTTCAGTTTACCTCTAACGAAGTTATCGTGTGCTATTTAATGGACAAGCACGTAGTGATCGCTTGGGATATAAACAACCTTGTTCTCTTCGCTCGTGAAAGTCACAACATAGCGTCGTGAGGAAACACGTTGGTTGTCATGGTTCTCCAGTTTTGTTGCTTTGTTCATCAGGTATGATGAGAATATACTTGGTTAATGCCTCTGGCATGTTATCCGAATCGAAGTAAATATCTACTAGATAGATTTAATACTCCACAGTGCGAATAAAACGAATGTCAGGCGTTTGTGCTAAAGCTACTTAGTTTTACCTTAAGGCACGAATTTAGGTGCGGTTACCGTGATTTTGAATTGATGTGCCAGAAGTTTGCATTTGGCTTCTTAATTACTCATAAGAACTTTGGTAGTTGGATACGACAATCCCTCCAAATCGGGACAGCCTTTGGTAGCCCTAAGTAGTGTTTCCCATTAGCTGCAACATGTAATGTGAAGCGCCACCTTCGGGAAGACTAATCACCGCTTTTCGTTTAGTGGTCTGTCGTGGACAAGGTCACGATGTTCCTTAAAATTCGCACAAAAACTCGTTACCCCAACTTTCTCACTGTTTATCTAGCTTTTCCTAGGAAACGTAAAATTTCGTGTTTGTGAACACCCCAGAAAGTCATAGTGTAATCCCGAGATACGGCAACCAGAGTAGGTCATTGAAACGTGGGCCTGATTTCGTTAGACCCATGCGGATCGGGCACACAAGGGTGGGCGAAGAAATTCGAATAGTCGCCTGAAGAGACCACCTTGCATGGGGTAGCTCCAGGACAATCTACCTAGCCTAATAATCAAGCACTGATTGTCAATTTCATCACGCATTCAGCGGTCCTCTTTCACAGGGCCGATGCAAAACATGCCTACAGGTCTGCTGTTAGATAGTTTTCCAGATACTGCGGTAATGCTGTGACTGCGTGATAAATTTTTACTAGAATTAATTAAACAGATTTTCTGAAATTGAATGTATTCACAGGTAGACTTGCAGGACTCGACGCGAATTCCAGACCGTGTTGCCATTTCTGTTGGTGTGTGTGGCACAGTGACTCAGATGGGTTGGCTATATTTTCCACTCCAGACGGGATTAGTGGTTTTTATGAGGTGGTCGTTCTACTGGTTGCTTACATTGCCACTTCATTGCTTCCTTCCATTAAAAATCCTCTGCCGCTTCGTTCAAGTTACTCATCTTTTAGAAGTCATTCTCCGTCAACAACTAGTCGGCCTGTTCTTTGTGAGTGATCTTCTTTCGAAAGGGTCACCACTTTATTATATTTTTTGTCCAAAAATTCTAACTTTAAAGTATATAAAGCACAGTTCGAATACTTCAACCGATAGGCAAATCCGACCATTTCCCGAATTTGAACAATACCAACAAGGTGGATGTAGGAAACGAATTCATTTTTTATGGAAGCGCACCAAATAGCAGGGTTTACATTAAGCAATGCAAAGACTGCTTGCGATTGCACTTATTGTCCATGTACACACCCAAATCACACCGGAAACTTATAGTTGATCATATGGTTAATTTTGCCTGTATGTCGTGTTTGAACGGCGATATATTTCGGGCCAGGGTAGCGTTTGATAAAATTCCGGAAAAACTCGTGTACAACGGCTGGAAGTTGGGCAGCCAACAAGTATCTCTACCAGCAAGCTCTATTCACTGAATTGTGTAACTAAAACAAGCGGCTTTCGTTTTATTCTTCTGCGGCTGATTTCTCAAGAAATCGGAACTTAGGGTTCGGTTATTAATGGTGCGTCGCTCAGCTCTGTGGTAAGGGTACACTGTCGGATCGTTTTGTTTGATTGCAACTAACTGCGAACTAGCACAAAAATTAAAGACAGTTATTTTACTTAACTACTTTTATCTTGAGGCGGGAAGGGTCAAACCAGTGAGTGGCAGGTTATCTGCCGCCAGTGCGCCGACAGCCTCTAAAATGCGAACATATTTGATTTAAGCCAAGCAGTGTGCGCCAAAAAGCAGTGGACATTTGTACTGAAGGTACAACGGTAGAATGGCTACTTCGGATTTACGGAAAGAGGCATTTTAAATCAGCTAGGAGCAGGTCACGGCACGCGCTCAGACAAGGCTACATTGAAATCACGGCGAGCAGTTTTTCACATGCAGCTAACTCAGAACTTGGGACTCGCCTTAGACATTTAACTGGACGATTCGGCATGCTGCAAAGTTTATCTACAAAAACTTGTACAAACTTCAAAATACTTATAAACAATGAAATCCGCTTGAAGGCAGAATAATTATGGGATGGAGTCATACCCAAGTATTTGATAGAATGATAGTTTGGGATGGTTTAAATGTTAGATATGTGCTCTGTACATCACCATCAAAGAGCTGTTGGCAAGAACCACAAAGAACACCGAAGGCTGGAAAATTCAGAACCACTGTACTACATAAAAATCCATCTAGTCCCCGTAAATAAGACAAATGTAGCGTATCTTTGATTCATGCTGCGTTTCCTACGTATCATCAGCAGCCTCCCACATTCCGGTAAGCTGCCTATTTTTATTTTATTTCATCTACCCAAATGTTGATGAAGAACGCTAATAAGCCTCATTCAGCGCGGCAACCCCTCTTTGGAGTGCTCGTTTCTTGAGGGATCACCATAGCACTCAAAGTCGAAGTAACCATGTTTGGAAACTCCAGAAACGTTTGGAAAACTTTTGCCCTGCAGGCGGTCGTGTACCTACTTCATTCCATAAATAAGGAAGACCAAGAACCTAAAGTTTGCATCCTCAGGGACTCCCACGTCCGTCTTCGTTTCGAGCTTTAAGTACTGTGTCTGCGGGCATAGATTTCAAGCCAATTCTCATGGGACCGGATTGATAGAGTCCCGACTGAGTAGTGAGTTCTCTTGCGGCAGTTTAGTGGAGTACTAGAGAGTCCCGACTGAGTAGTGAGCTCTCTTGCGGTAGTTTAGTGGAGTACTATATATTTCTATATTACCGCATTTTGCAGATAAATTATCACAATGCATTCTGGAAGGAGCCCATTACTGTACCATCTAATTAGGAATCTATAGCAAAACCAGCAGTCTGACTTCCACTTGTACTATCCTCTAGTAGAGACTTACACTTGTCAGAGTTATGCTACAAATATAAGAAACTTACCCAGTTGATTCAGTGATACTTCCGTGGTGGTTTTGAATGGATACCAATGGTTACCAATTCCGATCAGACATGTGCGTGCACCAGCAGCACAGTTTCGAGTGAGCGGTTGTTTTTGACATTGTTTGGCGCTTTCGTTCGAGCACTTAGGTGGGTTGTACACCAAAGCTCCTTGAGCTTGAACAGTTTAAAAGGTGGCTTTGTCAGATTGTCCAGAGGTTGCTTGACCTCACTTCGAAAATAAAGAAAACGCTTTCGAACAAATCACAGTCAGATATACACTGAAGATTTGGTGCCAGGACGCAACTTTGATTCACTTTCATATCAAATTTGAACTCGCCAGAGGTGGCCCAGCAAGGATGCACTCAGGCCCTGGTCTCAGGCCGAAGGGATCTGACGATACAGACAGTCGTTTCAGGACGGTCCAGTCTGTGGTGGAAGAAACCCTGGGCTTCGTTGTTCACAATGCCAAAGTCTTGTGAAGTCTGTATACAGAGCATACAATGGATGGTTCCGTTCCTTTATGTGATATTCCGCTAACATAAGGTCAATATGTGCAGGAGTGTTTCAACAGCGCAGAAAAAATCGATTCTTCTGCCAGCTTCGCTCCTTTGGACAGACGATCTTGTCACCTTTGAACTCTCTATGGAGAGTCTCCAGTTTCCCAGATTATGCAATTTAGGCGAAGCAGTCGCTATCCAATCCTAATCTGCTCACTGAATAATTCAACAGGCATTCGGTTTTCTGCGGCAGACAGTCTGTTTAGTAGTTCTGTATTTAGTCTTTGTAGGCGGGTTGGATAAGCCCATTCCCGCAGAGAGCTGCAGTAATTG